GTAAAATTTTTAAATCTTGGTAGATTGTAAAATAAGTTACTAAATATTATTTTTACTTTATGCCTTATTTTTGTATTATAGCTTAAATCAGCTTAAACGAAACCTATAGAAATCCTACCCTAATCGTGAGTCTTGCAAGGTTTCTTGTTTTTTATAACAGTTACTTTCATTGTGTAATACATAGTACCTATAATAAATAAGTAAAAATTAAACTATTCATGGATAATTAAAAATAACTATATTATGAAGACTACAAAAAAAAAGTGTACTATTTTTTGTGTTAATTTTAATTTTGATAAAATTATATTTGAAAATATACTTAAATTGAATGTTTTGTAATAATTAAGTTAAATTAATTTAAATAAATCATTTTATATGGGTAAACACATTTTTAACAATGAAAAAATAATGCATTATAATATGTTTTCTAACTGCTGTATCCTGAGGATGGAACAAATTAATTGACTTAATTTTACCAAAGTATTGGTTTTTATTTCTAAAACTGTTTATTGAAAACTCTGAATTATATATTATCTTATAGCTAAATTGTTTAAACATTTTATCAAGAATTATGTGCTAAGCGATTCCTAAACTACCTATAATATTTCTTGCAAAATTTAGCAAAGCAAGAAATGTATAGGTATATACAATTTTTTTTTTATCTGAACAACTTTTGTACCAGAAATTATACTCCAATTTTCAATTGTAGCACTTTTTGAAAAGAAAACTGATGGCACTTTAGGGATGTCATTTTTTGATTTCCCAGATTTTTTCATGATAAATGGGTAACACGGAGAAATATATACAATATTAAATAAATATTATTTAAAAAATATATAATTTTACCATAATATGACATATATTGACAAAGCAACACTATTAATCGAACTCGGCTCAGAACTGTTTTTCGTTAGTAGTGGTTTATCATTGCTTACAGATATATATTAAATTTTCACTTATACCTTCCAAACATAAATTTCCACTATTACCTTCCAAACTTTTCACCTACAAAAGACTGTATTGTCATTGTATTTTTTGCCTTTTGCATGACTGCTATGATATACCTAAATGATAAAATTTGAACATCAAATTTTTCACGCCCTCCATGGTGTGAAATGTCGTTAGAAAGGTTAGAAAAAACAATCAAAAACGGATAATTTTTTTTCAATGTAACTACTAGTACAAACTTCTTCTAGAGTCGATAATAATATGTCCCCACTCTATCTTCCCAAAAATGTGATTACGAATTCAAGAAAGTAGCATTTACAAAAAAAAATTAACGAAAATTATTAATTTATATTATATGATGCATAGGTTATGCTGAACCCTAAGTTGATAAATTGTTATTTATTAGGTAGGCAAATAAACAGTCTAATAGTATGTAACATTGTTCCGCAAATATATTAATAATCAACGTACCAGAAATATAGCTCCGATTTTCAATCCTAGTGCCTTTTCTGTAAGTAAATTTCATCTGAGGGGTACTTATTCATTTTCCCAGCGGTTTTCATAATAGGAAGACCTGGAAAAAATGGGACAATTTACGAAATGTATTCTCAATTTTATTATTTTGTTGTGATACAGTGAAAAATATTTGCAGAGACGTAAAATTTGAATAGAAAACTACTATTTGCTTTTTTAGACGTTGTACAATTTTCGAAACATTTAAGCCATTTTTAAGCTATTAAACATTTATTGATCGAGTTTTTTTACATAATATTTATTTGGTAGGTTAAAATTTTTAAAACATTTTCACAATTGTTGACCTATTTATAGGCATTCTAATTTTAAGTAATTTTTATTCGGTTGGTACTTTAAAGTTAAAAATGTTAAATCAAACTGAAATGCTTGAAAAATTAGTAGGTTTATTATAAGTCGTACTTTGTGGTTAAAAAAAAAAAATTGAGTGTGATGAAGTATTTTTTTTTTCTAACAATTTTAATATCAAATTTTGACGAAATTCGTAATTATATTACGGCCTTTCACAATATGTTTGACAGAACTCTGTTCAGAATAGTTTTTCATTAGCGATAATCTATCGTTGCTGATTTACAGATATATATTAAATTCCTCCTTGTTTTTTCTACTTTCCCAACTTGTCACCTACAACAGTGACTCAACCATCGTCCGAAGTATATCGCGTCTTTTTTTTTGGTATTCTTCTATTTACCCGTTTATTTAATGTATATCTGTTTGCTTATACAAATTAATTTACCTAAACTAAAATAATATATTATAGTGTTGAACGAAGTTCGAAAAATAAATCTCGTAAAATTGATAAATAGAAATGTAAATGTATAATTAAAGTGTATCATCTAAAATCTTAATTTTAATAGTTTTATCGGTAATATATTACTATATTTCTAAAATATTAATTATACTATGCACTTTTTTATTTTTCTTGTCAAAAATGTTGATGCTAGACAGTAAACAAGGATCTCGACAACTATATACAATCTATGTGTAATAAAACGGTTTCATAGTCGTTACGTTTAAATTTTATTACCATTTATATACAAATACGTGTGCGTTTTATATTTATTTTATTGCGATTTTTAACATGATATTACATAATTATAGGTAGGTACGTTTTAGTTAGTTATGTTTGTAGATAAATTTACGTTAATTAGACGGGGGAGAAAAAGAGAAATAACGTATTTGTTCGTTAAGCATAAATAATCGATATTAAAAAAAATTATAATAACCGAAAGCAATTGATTTTTTTTTTTATTTTACTTTTCAATAAATTAAAACAAAATTGACCGTTGGTGGTGGTTAATTTCCGAACTAACCGTTTCTATGGTTACTGTTGTGTAAACACAGGCACTATATAGTCGAGTGTCTACCACGTACCCTTAGTTTCTCTTTTATATCAGTCACAGTAAAGCAGTCTAACAGTGCACTACTTCTTTTATAAATATTTTTTAAGTTAAAAAATATAACATGGGTAAGTATTTATAAGTCTTTATTTTCGTAATTCTTATTATATATTATTATAATTTATTTATTAAATTTGAGCAGTTTGCTTCTTTCGTATATTCCATTTTATAAATACCTAATAATATCTGTTTTAATTTTAAATATTTAACAAAATATATTTGTATACACATTTTATTAATTTAACACTGCTCCCAAGTTAATAATCATTTAACGTACTTGAGATTATCTATTTTTACATACCAAACATATAAATAACATACATTTTGTTATTATTAGCCAATATTGTATTTCTCCAGATGATTTATTATTAGGAATTATTTAATGCTATTTTTAGATATCTATACAGATTATTTGTAATTATTATTCTTATTAATCAATTTTAGCTACGTTGTTGTCTGTGGGTTTTTCGTGGTTTAATCATGAAACTATATTTATTACATTTATTTTTACCATTTAATGATAATGCTTAATCAAACCGTAGGATTAATTTGTGGAGTTACAATAAAGGTATTATTATGTTTTTAAATTAATATCATTAATACAAAAAATCGTAATTTACAAATTTTAAAAAATATGTTTTTAATTAAATAAAAATGAAATATATATAAAGTATATAATTTATAAACGGTTGGTTTAATCACGTTTTTATTTAATGAATATGGTAAATGTAATAATGTACATGGACTTTCGTCGTTTTAAAATCGATAGGTTGTCTAGTATAGAGTACACACTTAGGGGGCAATAGCATGACATTGGTTTTTACTGGATCAATAGAATGGAGGAAGTGTCCCCTCGCAGGGTAAAAGGGGTTGGTTGTTGGCGCCAGTCTGCTGTCTGCCGTATCATGCATGCCAGTGAACTCAAGGTGAATGAAACACCCTCGATTAAATCGCACCCTACCAGTCCCCTACATTTATTATGCAATGTGCAAACCTTGCTAAAATTATTATTTAAAAGAGATCCTTACTGTGAACACACTTGAATATATCTGGGTTTTTTATAATACAAATATTTTATATATAATTTAAATTAAATTATTCAACTTATAACTTAATAATTAGTGTATACAATTAAAATAGAAGACGTTTTGTTATTCATACACCTATTTGGGGAAAATAAGAAGGATCTAATTTTTATTTCACTTAATACTTAAGTATAATTCTTTTTTTTCTTTTATTTTGTAATGGGTTTTTGAACATAGATTAATTTAGTTTTTCAACCATTATTAAATTGTTTAAGCTTTATTATTTTTAAACTTATATTTTTTTACTGTACTCCCTATACTTCAGATAAGTATTTAGACTGTTTATTTGTCAAGTAGAAACCATCTCTTTAAAACATAAATTTGCATAGAGAATTTTATTTCTATTAATTTTAATATGCATAACATATTAATATTGGATTTACTGTTTATGAGTTACATGTTTATAATAGGTTTCAAATTTAGATGGCTGAAATAAAGAATGGAAGGTTAGTTTAGGTTAGGGTAATGTAAAATTAATGATCTTTTCCTACTTCAGTGTAAGCCTAAATTGTTATAAGTTATAACTCGAAAACGGTAAATTATATTAGTGTTAAGCATGTCCAAGTGTATAGAAAAAAATTTCAAATAAATCTATTTAAAAGGGAGGAGTTTTTTCTACTTAAAAGTCAAAAATATATATGAGGTATACTCAGTAGAGATAATAAAGATTAAAAATAGTGTAAAAAAATAAAGCTTATACAATTCCATAATAATTCAGAAATCAAAATTCAAATTCACTTATAATGTACACATAATATAATTAAATACATATGTGGTAGGTAAATTACCTATGTACATAATATATTAATATTGTTATTTTATTTAAGTCCTTTCACATTAGTTATTTATATACTGAAGTTTTCCATTAAATTTATTTAACTTAGGCTAACTCCTTTTGAATTTGTGGACTGTGTATTATTAAATTTTTATGTATTATATATATTTATTTGATATAAAAATGGAGCTTAATATAAAAGAAATATAATATTTTGGGATTTTTTTTAGTGTAAACAATTTTTGTTTTATATTTCTAGACATGAAGAGATTTAATGATGGTCATTCCAATGCCCCATTCAAACGACCCAAGATGGGTCCTGATGACATAGAGCTGAGAGTTCTTATTCCAAGCAAAGTATTTAAATATAATACTTTTTTTTACAAAAATGTTTTCATATATTTTGAAAATATAACAATTTGTGTATTTTAGGTTGCTGGTTCAATTATTGGTAAGGGAGGCTTCAACATCTCCAGACTACGTACAGACGTAAGTTTTTTGTTTAAAATTTATGGTTGTAAAATGAGTTAAAAATTCAAACCAACCAAAAATAGGCCTACTATTTATTGTTGTGATGTACATTTAATCCCATCATAATATATTCTTGTATGGTCGAGGTTTAGTTCATTATGAAGGAATATTGTTAGATTTTTTTTTTGTCAATATTCCCAATTATTGGATTTAATAACATTTAATAAATGAATAGAAGTATTTAATGAAGGTAAGTAGGCCTATTTGACATTTTTCCTCTCAGCACATGGTAAGAAAAAAAAGGATACTGGAAATATCGATGAAATAATAATCATGTATAGTTGCTATGTAACCTAACCTAAACAGGACTGATCTTGGAAATTTGTTATGTGTTCTATGCCCATATGCCCATGCCCCTCGATGTGATTTATTTCACATGTCCCGTGGTACCCTGGGCCCCTCTGCATATACCACGAATATGTCCTGAACCACAATCATCGACGAATACAACATGCGAACAATAACGGATACTACCTGATGCTGTCCATCTAACAGTACAATGCCACAGTCACTGTCCCAGATTGCCCGGGCCCTGAACGGTAAATCATCCATCATCAATCTCTCATATATACTTTAAATTTTCTTTTATGCATAACTATTATTTTTTCTTTAGTAGATTCAGATGTGTATTTATAACCATTTTGTTATTAATATTAATTATTTAATGTACTGAAAGCCTCTAAAATTTAGAAATTGTGTATGAGAATAAACTAGGCTAATTTCTCATTTAGATTTTTTGGGGGCTTGCAGTTTATTTATTTGTTTATTTATTTATTTATGTGTTTGGTTACTTTAAAAATGGTTTTAAAAATTAATAAATTGCCTCCCATTAGGATATTTCAAATTTGAAATAACTTATAATCAAATCCATTTAATCCATAAAGAAATATTAGTTGTTAAAGAATATAAATTAATTGTATTACAGAATTGTAAGTAAAGCTACATCACTTTCCATTTGTCCTGTAAATCGGTTTATTTTAACTGATATAGTTCTTTTTCTGTTTGTGAGTTTAATGGGGAAATATACTAAGAGTAGACCAATTATTGTGTTATTTGTATAATATTATTGTTAACTATGCTTTGTATTATGTGAATCATAATGTTAAGTTATTAATATAATATAATTTAAATATTTTAAAAATCATGTTTCAAATTTAAGATTATTGGTCCATTCTTAGAAATTTGCTTATTTTTTGTCGAACCTAATAAATTTATGTGAATTCAAATAATAATTTATTTTCTTTGTTTGGTAGAATTTTGACAATCATATCAAGTAATGACAATGCTTTAAAAGTTTTGGGAGAAGTAATGAACAATTTAGAAGATGGTGGTTCGGTAAATATCTACATGGAAGTAAAACTAATGTATTTGTATTAAAAGTTTATTTTATATTGTATGATTAGAGATTCAAACGCGGCGGTGGAACTGGTGGTGGTCAAGGTAATAATGAAAACCCAGGAGAAACTGATGTTGATGTCCGAATGCTAGTACATCAAAGTCAAGCTGGGTGTATAATTGGAAAAGGAGGATTAAAAGTGAAGGAACTAAGAGAAGTTAGTAGATAATATTTGATAGAATTCCATATACATTTTTTAATTTAAATAATGGTTTTAAACAAACTATTAAACAATTTTTAAAAAAATAAAAATTGCTGCTCCTTTGTTCGTATGCTAATAAAATTGTACTATTCAAGTTATTTATAAAATATGTGAACTTTTTTTTAAAAGTGATAATAAATATTGTTTGTGTTGGTTATCCAATTATTTTATATTAAGTTAATTTTTCATCTCTTGTTAAAAATATAATTACAATTTTTAGAAAACTGGGTCACGTATTAAAATTTACACCAGTTGTTGTCCAATGAGTACTGATCGAGTTGTACAAATAACGGGGAAGCCAAATACTTGTTCTGATTGTGTAAGGGAAGTTTTGGATTTATTAAAAACTGTAAGTTTGTTTTATTTGTGTACAAATTTGGTGATTTGTGTTTTAAATTAAAAATTTTAATAATAACTTATTTTAATAACTATTTATAGGCACCTGTGAAAGGGGCAGAAGATCCATATGATCCAAATAACTATGATGAATATTATTCGGATGAATATGGTGGTTATGGTAATCCAGCTGGTGGTGGTGGTGGTGGTGGAATGAGAGGTGGCAATATGAATCGTGGGCCACCTGGTCCAGGAAGATTCCAAGGTGGTGGAGGTGGACCTATGAATAATCGTGGAATGTAAGTTACAAATAATAATTATTTAATTATTTCTGAAAAATTCTATCTGGTTATAATAAATTTGTTTACTACTATTTATCAGCTATATTTAATATTTATCTAAGAATAATTTATTTTGTTTTAAATTAATATAAATAACATTATTATATATATGCGCATAAAAAAAATAAACAACATTTTAGAAAAATAGATATAATGTTTCTTTATCAATATGTGCAAGTTTTATTTTTTTTATGAGATCCAGAATAATATATTATTTGTTAATTTATTATTTTTGAAATATTAATTATTGTCCCTGTTAAATATAATTTAAAGGTATTATTCCAGGGGTGGTGGCGGCCGAGGCGGTGGTGGTGGCGGTGGTTTCGGCGGCGGTGGCGGAGGATTCAGTAACACTGGCGGTGGAAATTATGGAGGCAATGCTGGAGGTTATGGCGGTGGACCAGGTGCTTATGGAAATAATGTTGGATCTGGAAACTTTGGCGGTGGTGGTGGAGGTTATGGTGGTAAGTAATTATTTATTTATAATATTATTATTATTATTTATGTTCTGTGGCTTAGTCTTCACTTTTATGTTGCTAAATATTTTTTGATGTGTTGTAAATATGATTTTATTATTCAGTGCTATAAAGTAGATTTGTAGATAGAATTTTTATTAATTATAAAATAAAAAAAGCAGTTGTAGCAATAAGTAAATATATTAAATAAAATTGTTATTTATGAATTTATTTTTAACTTAAAATTATTTTATTTCATTAATTAATAATATTTTTTAGGTTTATGTTTTAATTATTAATCTATTTTTAAAGTAAAACTTTTATGTCATCATTTCAGTCTAAAGATTTATTTCATACAAATTTTTATATTATATATATACATATAATGTATAATATATGTATTTTTTATTATATAAGGTGGCTTTGATGATGGTCCTATGAGTGATTTTAGTATGCCTCCTCCAGCTATGGGTGCTGGAGCCGGAAAACCTGCTGCTTTTAATGGTTCTACGCAAGTCACTATTCCGAAAGATGTAAGTGACAGTTTTAGCGCTGACGGAGTTATGCACAAGGCTTGCGTACCGAAAAGCATAAAGGTTACCTATAAATTTAAAAGCTATTCAAGTAAATTTACCCAATTTTTAATTTTTAAAAATAATCTGAGTTATTGGGAGATAAATATATAATATAAAGAAAAGAGTATTATTATAGTTAACAGATAAAAAGGGAAAAGTTTAAATCCAAAGAATAGATGAAGAGGTTAATATGATATATAAAAGTATATAATGAAGACATTTTAATAAAATATCTACTAATTTTTTGTTAATATTTACTAAACTTTACTATACTATATAAATAATAAAATATTTCCATTTTATTTTTGTTATAAGCTAAGTGGTGTTAATTCAATTAATTAAAAATAAATTTACTGTTTGCTTCAATTCAATCCAAATAAAATTGTCCAATGATGTTATTTAATGTATCGGTACGTTTGTCTTGAGTAGTTATAATTTAGCGATCAAAACTGTTGCTTACATGTTTTTCGGTATGCGATCCCTTGTGTGCTCCTATTTAATTTCTATTTGCTATATTTTATCTTCTCATAGTTACAGAATTTTTTTTTTTTAAACCTTTTATGAGGTAGTAAAAAAATGTTCAGTTTGACATAGAATTAAATTAAAATAATTGTTTTCTGGGTTTCATTAAATTATTTTGGTATTTTTAATTATGAACTTTTGTAGATGCTTAGAAATAAAATATTAGATTTTACTAAATTTATTGATTAGTATGTTAATTTTACATCCTTAAACATAAGCATTTGTTTGTTTTGAAAACTTAAAAAAAAATTAAAAAGAAAAATTACTTTTATTTAGTTAAAATTGATATTAAAAATTATTAGTTTTTTTAAAAGTGTGTTTTATTTATTATTTGTTTGTTTCACATCTTTAGAATAATGTAGGTAAAATCACTAATTTGTAGATTTATTATTTTTTGTCTAAATCATGTTTTGTGTTAATCTTACTTTATTAATAAGTATATTTCATTTTTAAAGCTCGCGGGCGCGATAATCGGCAAAGCCGGCGCTAGAATTCGTCGGATACGCCAAGATTCGGGAGCCGGAATCACAATTGGCGAACCAACTGAAGGCTCAGATGAACGAATAATCACTATTAATGGCACAGATAGTCAAATTCAAATGGCACAATATTTATTACAACAATGGTTAGTTTTTTTATATTACTATTATTTTTGTTATGTGATTATTTAAGGTGAAAGAATTTTCATATAATACTAACATAATTAAAGAAGTGCCATGCAGCTAACTATGGGTTCTCAGCTACAAGAAAACCGTTAACTATCGTATGGAAGACTAGTGATTTTGTTGTTTTAAAAAAAGTGTTTTCCTAACAAGAAGTCTCTAGTCTTCTTTCGAAAGTATCGACTAACAGCATGCAACAGCCATAACTGCTTTTATATATTAACTACGAAATTATTAATATACGCTTTATATTTTCTTAACAATAAGTATAATTAAAATTAAATATGAGTTATCTAGTAAGTGGTTCTAATTTTGTATTGTTTTTTACAAAATTGCCTTTTTTTTTTTCTTATACATTTTTCCTGTTATATTTGTGATTTAAATTTTCAAACAATGCTTAATAAAATAAGTTTAAATATTTCAACTGGGGAATATCTAATTTAGGGTTTATATAATGTTTTATTTTGAAATTTGTATTACGTAAGGGGATTGGTGAGTATTCTAAACTTAAAAGCCAGACAAAACTAAAGGAATTAAGATTTCATAATTTCAATTCAGAAAACTGATTGACTTTTTTTATTTAGGTACTTTATCAGGATATATTGGATTTAAAATTTAATTTTTTACTAAAATAGTTTATTTTATATTTTAAAAAATAATTCCTAGATGTCCCTCTAAAGATCCATAATGTGCTATCAAAATTGAAATCTATCTAATGCAATTTCTGCAGTTATGTCTGGTTTTTCCGTTTTAACAATAATATTTTTTCCAAAAAAATGGTTATAATCCCATTTTCCTTAAATTGGTATCTGGCAGTGAAAAAGTCATTAGGTGATCATTCAAATGTAAAAATAATTTTATCAATTTTATTTTAATAATCTTAAAATTTTAGAAAACCATCACCAATCCTCATAAGAGGATACTATACCTGTATGTGCTGTCTCCGTTATATAACTGCGCGGCAGTAAATTTTTATTCAACTGGAATAATTTGTTATGTCGTGTGATTGTGTATGATAGAGACAGCAAATGTGGGAATGGAATTCTTATAATAGAATATTAATTTGAAACTGTTGAAAACTTGTTTAACTATGTAGAATTAATTAACTAGCATAGCATTGGTCTAGCTATACAGTTCATACTAAGTAACTCTATCAATATTTTTAAATTTATTTTGATATATAAATTGGAATGTTGCCTAAGTTTGTTAATTTGTGTTGTTTCCATTACTTTAATTATTAGTAGCCAATTACAATTATTGTACATCATAAGTATATCATTTAAAAATGTAATGTAAATATTATGTTAAAGCTTGCATGGATTGTTGTTTTATACAAATATATTTTCAGAATATGTTATTTAAAATACATTTAAAAATAATCTGTTCAAGTTTATTCATTAATTTTATATAAAGATTTGTATTATATTTCTTAATTCATAATTCATTTTTTTTTTTTTTTTTTTTTAATATATTTATAACATTTATTTATTTTAAATGCATAATATATAATAGTGTATTATACAATATACCTATAATGTATACAATTAATAATCTATTTTATGTGTTGTTTTTTTTTTTTTTTATGTTTTAGCGTTCAAGCCCAAAAACCTGGAGGTCCCGGTGGCGATGGCTTCATGTAATTATAAAAAAAAAAAACGCATCTTGGTTTTATTTTTTGCTATAATATAATGTTTTCAATCTTATACTTATTTCATATTATATAAAACAGTTAGATTTAGTGACCATTAGTAAGAATGACCCATGTATTAAATTTCCTTTGGATAATATAATAATTTTTTATGCCTGTAATGTAAAGCGGCTTAAATTTACTTTGAAGGTAATCCGTATTTATATTACTGTATTTTCAGTTTGTACTTTAATACTTTTTTTATGTTGTAAATATATGACATTTATATTAATGCAGATTTTACATCATTCAAATTCTAGATCTAAGTTTTTAAAAGAAAATAATTAGTAAAACATTTTGAATTAATTATTATTAATAAGTTGAATTTTAAATTTCCATATAATATCTGTATGAAGTAATAATATAAATTATACTTAAATACAAAATATTTAATTAATTCTTAGCATTAGATTTTAATATTTACATAAATAATTGTATGGACCTTATTATGTAATTATTGTATTTTATATTGGAGTGTAACAATGAAGAAGTAATACAGTGTTCTATGATTTAAATTGCATCTTAATTTTGTTTGTTTTACTTTCCTAATGTGGAATTGAACATATTACAATTTCAACGATGTTTATAATATTGAAGAATATTACGAGTGGGTACTTAATGCATTTTGTTTTAATTAGACATAATGCCTCAGTAAATCAATGATCAGTTGCAAAAAAAAAACATTTTACAAATTATTAAAGGAGCATAAATATATGTCATCAATAATCAGAATTTAAAAGATATTTTTAATGGCAGATGCAACATCTAATATAATATAAATTCATCATCAGTCATTACTATCACTAATTGATAATGTATAATTGACTTCCATAATAATACTAATGAAAAATGATTTAATTTAATTAAACGTGGTCCGCCTGTAATAAATTTAATGCTATATAAGCTTTGAGATAGTTAAACAATGTTGTTTTTACAATGCAATGTATGTAGGTAAATTATTGATAAATGATAAGTGATAACATATTTTAACAAGTTAGCATTTTAATGGTTAGAAGGTAAAATAAAAGAGTGTAAGGGACATTTTTTTGAAAACCTACTTTTTTGTATATTGTGTAAACGCCATTTAGGAAAACTTAGTAGAACCTAAGAACCGTTGTTGGCGGTTATGTTGTAATTCTTGTTATTGGTTTGCGTGAACGCCACTGCTGATTGTCGAAGAAATTGATTTCAATATTAATATGTAAGTAGGTACCTATTTAGTTATTAAACTCATACTCTTATAAATCATTGTATTACACCTAGTAACATCGTATTTATTTTACCTATTTGTTATTAAAATCTTATTCTTCTATAATATTATTGTTTAAGTAATCAAAATGCAGAGTTCACGTTCTCAAAGATTAGTTCCCATTGCTCGTTAAAATAAAACATTTGAAGAACCAACTGCAGTTAAAGATGCTGCAACAGTAGTACATGATGTTTTCACAATTATGCCTTTTCAAGATTTAATGACAAAACAATCTCTTTTAATGCATTCTGTAAGTAGTTTAGATTTAAATCTGAGTATAGATGTGTACGGGGAGAAAAATTCACCTACCAACAAAAATAATAATATAACTGTGCAACAACTAGATGAATTTATACAAAAACTGCTGACAATAAGCTCACACTACTGTAGGATCTCTACTATATATTTCTTAATATTAGGAAATATCTACCAGATGAGTTCCAGAATGTTTTTAGACTACAGTGTTTATATAAAGCTAATGGATATAATGCTGTTTCCGAGTATATTTTCAGAAATGTGTTTACCAAGAAATATAACCTCAAATTCCATCTTCCTAAAAAGGATGAGTGTAGGCAATGCACCACATATTATGAAAATATAAATGCCAACACTGTTGAAGATAAAAAAAACAAAAAAAAAAACATTTAAAATAAAAATGCAAAGGTATGTTCCTACAACACCAAAAGAGCTTAGATAGTGACTTTGTGTATATCTTTTGATTTACAGAAAGTTCTCAATACACCAGCTGGAAATAATATGAATCTTTGCTACAGCCGAAAGTATAGTACCTACTTACAACTGCACTATTTATGAAAGTAAGACTAGAAATTTATACTGTTATTTTTGTGGGGTAAAATTACTGGAAATCGAGACTGTAATGAAATTTGTTGGTGTATATTTAAATATCTCGTTGAAATTGATAGATAGGAGAGATATTAAATCAGTATTTCTATTTTGTGATTCATGTGCTAGACAGAACAGAAATTAAGTATATTATGTATAATTTTTCTCTCTTCTTTTAGGAGCTCATCGCCTTCTACACGAGCACTTACTCAATGGAGGCGTTCATATTAAATGCTTTACATATTCATTTTTAACATGTACATTTGAAATTGTAGGAAATACGTTAAACACGAAGGTTAGATTGGGTCAGGTTAACCGTTTAATAATCAATTGACAAAATAATGATCGAATCGATTGTTAATCGTCTTAACGAATGCGAAAAATAATCGATTAACGAAAATCGCGTAGCCTAATACATTTCCGAGCGCGCGTAACAACGGGCCACTATAATATTGCGCGCAGCGTGCCTGCAATCGCGTGGGTACCGAGCGAAACGCCGGACCGGAAATCGCTGTCGCAGGGGGAATAAAACGAAAAAAAACACGGACGCGACCGTGTACCGTTCGGTATAGCGAACTGTTCCGACAATCAAGATGTCTATTATGCGTATAATGCATAAAACACCGTTGTTACGGGTGAATTATATATTGTTGCGCTTTTTGCGAAAACTGTTATGTTAAAGTGTGTTTTATTATCGAGAGAGAATAATAACGGGGTTAAACAATTCATGCGACGGCGGCGCGGAGTCAAACGCCCGACCGCTGCACCTTTATCGTTTCACCCGTCCCTCCGTCCGACGTGCGCACTGTATAAGGTTGTACGCCGACGACGCATACGCTGACGTTTTGTTATTAGGCTGGCGCGTGTCCATTGATGCTTTATTAATTTCGCGTATAGGTAATCTAATTATTAATATCCTCCGCGTCCGTCAATTTATTGTTGTGCGCGCGTGTAACGTTTTGTTGTATAAACGACGAGGAAAATTAACCCCTCGTGGCAGGATAACTCAATAATTCTGCACTCTTTTGTGCGTGCGTTGCGCGCGCGCGCGCGTTATCAAAGAGCATAAACGAACACACATTATAGATCGAAACGGGGAAAAAATAAAAAAATAATAATAATAATAATAATAATAAAAAAATATCGCGTATAATATAATACTATGTTATTAGTGCAGTTATGTATAGTAACATACACACATACACGGCGGCGGCGGTTAATAACATTAGGAAATGCATTTCGCGTACATATAGAGTAAATAACGAACGTCGCGTGTACAATGCGTAATTTTTACAGTAATATAAGTACTTCGACACACGGTGATTACACACATCGTCGCCGTTATTACCGGCTAAAAGAGATCGGTTTTGAATATTCACGTAATTTTCGTAAGTGCGGTGCCTACGTAGCTAATTCGTTATTCGAACCGCCCTGAAATTGTCATCGAAAAATCCAAGCGCCTAATCAAACATTCTGTGCACGTCGTAGTGGTAATACGGCGGTTCGGATGGATTCGTTTTAGACGAGAAAACGTATACGCTCGGGGGGTTTTTTTTTTTGATCGACACCGTTCCGGTTTGTATTCGCTATCAAATTAAGCGAACCTCACTTAAAGTAACGTGTTCAAATTATATACTTATGCATATTAATTTTAAACATACACATCTGAAATAAGACAATAATTAAGTTGTTACTATAAAGAAATATTTGCATTCGTACTCGAATTTCTGTAGACTCCGAGTGAAGCGAAGAATGTATTGGTTTTTACAATGACGTTGATATTTATATTTTAGATTCAGAGCGTGGCGAGTGAGACATTGGTTTTACAATGTTGTTAATTATTTATTTTTTTTTCTTCTTTGTTATAATCTATAAACACGTTCTTTCCTAGCAAAACTGCTCGGATGTATAAGTGTAGCACACCTTTTTTTCCGGAAAGCTCAAGTTGTCCAGATTGTATTTTAGAGAGGTCATTTTTTTTTTTAAATTTTGACGAAATTTTTTAAATAAAAGCATTTGAGTGGGAAAAACGTAAAATTTCACGATTTCATTTTTTTTATAAAAACACGGACGACGTTTTCTACCAGAAAAAAAACGATATAATCGAAAAAAAACAAGATACCTTTTTTGTTGACTTTTTGAATTACTTTCTTACTGTATTATCGCCAAAACTTTTGAGTCACTTGAGTTTTTAAGGAATTCCTAATTTTTGGGAGTTTTCTTTGCTGTAATTCGGTTATAAACACACTTAGAGACTTGAAACTTGGTAATAATACTGATTGGATTTACCTAGATGTGGTAAAATTTCTAAAATCATCGGACGACTTTTTTTCTTTTTTTTACAATGGTACTTTATTTTTTTTATATACTGTAGACCACTTTCACTCTAGAAAACTTGCTCCTATATATAAGTGTGGTACTTTTTTTGAAAGTTAATTTTATCTACTTGGTAAATACATAGATTATTTTTTGATTTTCGAAACGTTATTTAAAATAAAAACAATTAATCGGGGAAAAAAATATTATTTCACGATTTTGTTATTTTAAATAAGTACTTACCACGTTTTCTAGCATAAATATGGCTCCAATTGAAAAACGACAAGAGATCTTTTTTGTTGAATTATTAATCTCGTTTTTAATGATGCAGGTTGTTTTTTTTCTAATAAGCGTTTTGAAATCAAATTTAAACGAAAATCGCAAAAAAAAATTAACGCACTTCAAATTATGTATTACCGAACTGCGCTCGAATCGTCTTTCGTCAGCAATAGTTTATCGTTGCTTACAGATATAAATGAAATAACCGTATGTATCCTACCTTCCTAACTTCTCACCTACAACAGTGGCCACACCCGTCCTCAATATCAGCTCTTTTTTAATGTTTTTTTTTTGCTGTGTACAGCAATTCCCTTAGAAAACTTGTTCTAATCAAAAAATAACATGCGTAGGTAGTACTATAGAGAGGTTATTTTTTGATTTTCCAAGTGGTTTTTATAATAATTGGGAAAAATAGAGAGGAAACCTAGGGAAAACGCAAGGATAAATGGGCAATATAATATTTATGGTCTATCGATTTCATGATTTTACATTTTTGTAAATTATATGTTTTCTAGTTAAAATCTTTCTCCAATCCAAAATTACAACAGAATTTTTTGTCACATTTTGGATCTAGTTGGTGGTAAAAACAAACCGTTTTTTGATTTTCATAATAATAGGGAAAAACCGAAAAAACGAAAAACATAATCAGACAAAGTTAATGGCATTGATATATTCTTTATTTCAGATTTTTACAACTCGTGTTTGCCACCGGAAATCTTGCTCCAATCAAAAAATTACAAAAGACATTTTTCGTAGAATTTGATAGGTCTAGTTAATGACGAAGAAAGTTATTTTTTGATTTTCCAAGTGGTTTTTATTGTATTTTGGAAAAACCGTAAAAAGAACGTAACAAAAACGGGAAAATGGACGACAGCAATAATTTCATTATTTTCGATAATGTTTTGCAAAAATAATCGTAGAAACCTAATATTCTACAGAAAATATCAGAATATTAATAATTACCCTTTCTAGGTTTAAACATTTTAAAACGATTTTTGAGCTATTTATAGGCATTTACGATTTACTGTTTTCTAGTTTTCCTAATAATAATCATTTTTCGTTGGCAATTATTAATCGTGGAGTATCTATATACATTGAATTCTCCTCTATATCCTCAACTTTTCACCTATAATAGTGGATCGTGGTGCGAAGTACATTCTTCTTTTTAAGATTAGATCTCGAAATTAAAATTAAATTAATTGATGCTGCTTAAATTATTATGGTGATAAATCAAGTTTTCAGCTTTCTTTAATATGTAAAGTTAAAGTTCAAAAACCCTAATATAATACCTACAATCTACATAATTACATACTCATATAATATGTGTATAGGATGTCTAAAATAAATCACATTTGGATTTTTAATGGTCATTAAGGAAAGATGATTGTTTTCAAGTGCAAAGAGCGGTTTTGATATACAATGAAGTATTTTTTAAAATATTATCCCGCTCTAAAATTATGGAAAAATTTCAGCCTATAGACTAAGCCTTTTCTTCCTTATTTATTTATTTTACTGTGAATATATATGTATATATTATATATGCAATATTTCACATCCCGCGTAAACCCTTCGACTGGCCATTTTCGGAAAGCTGGATTTTTGTTTCAAAATTATTACAACTACTGCAATTAATTCCTAATAATATGTATTTATTCGGATAAAATATTTTAAAAAATCAAGAACTAAGTATTTAAATGTGTTAGTTATAACTTAAAATAGGCACACGTCATAAAAAAAGTGGAAGACAAATAATACAGATAATATAGATGATAAGATAATATATATATATATATATATTATATAGGTACATTATGCGCATATATATATATATATATATAAAATAGGTAACATCATTTTTTTTTTTTTTACTTTGAATAAACATGTTTCTATCAGCCGTATTTACATATAAATATAAAGCTAAACCTAAATCAGTATAAATAAGTTCAATTTTTAATATTAATGAGTCGAACTGTTATATCCGAATATTATGCAAAATCGAACCGACCCCAATGCGAAAAAGAAAAATCTAACCGGACTTGTTTTATTATTATTGTATTGATGTAATGCCGTTTGAACGTCAAACATATAGGTGATCAATTTTCCATAAAACACTCGTTATATACTATTAAGAAGTATAAACTTTTTTCGAAATTTTCTAGAGAGATAGTAGACGAAAATCGCGACAGCGGCGTACCTGAGGGGGAGAGACAGGACAGTCACCCCTTCACTTGATCTTGTATAATAAATATCAAATTTTGATTTAATAGAATACATATTGTATGAACTTAAATGTATTTTACATTAAATATAAATTAAAACGTTTGTGTTGCCCAATTGCCGAATCTATTAATAATATCATTGTATTTATTACATGTTTTTTGAAAAAATAATTTCAAAATATATTTAACTCTTCTCCATAAGAATAGTATTGGATTGCTAATGGATCGTGGATCTTTCTCCCCAACGCAACGGATTGATGGAATAATTAAAAATATCAACACCAAAACGTATTTCAACTTGAACTCGGTGTATGGAATTTTTAATATGTAGATATTAGATTGACATTTTAACATCAAAAGTCTGTAGTGATTTCACCACCACCAAACATACATGCGATAAAATTAGATTCGATGTTAAATTTTATTACTGTTGATTTCAAGACAACGTGCAAGTCATGAGTGTTACGGGGAAAAAATTGATCACTCTATAAAATATCTCGGAGAATTGTATAGAAATTGAAATTCTACAAAAACGTACGTAGTTCGAATGTTCGATTGTTTTCTTTTAAAATAATGAACTAAATGTAGTATTCTACAAAATGTATATAAACTACTATACAAAATGTATAATTATACATTTTTGTGTTCACTATGTATTTTATGTTTTTGAATATTGGTCACGTTTGGTTCGGTTGAAAATTTGATAATTCCGACTCATCACTACTATAATTATTCACTTTAACTGTTTTGTACAAGGTTACAATAATAATAATAATAATAATAATAATAATTATAATAATAATAATAATAAAAATAAAAATAATAATAATGCAAAGGGGTTTTATTCTTTTGATTAGAAAAATGTTCGCTGTTAGTAATTACGCTGCACACTATTTTGTGAATGATCGCCAACAATATCTATGATCTCGTCGTCGGTACCGTCAACGTCATCGTTGTCGTCTGCTTCGGAAACTTCGGAAGCTGCATACCGCTGATTCCGTTCGCTGTCGCCGTTGAGCGAGCCACACGGTCGAGTTGAATTCTTGGACTCCTGGTGGACACTTGCACCTGGCTGTAAACCGCAAACCGAGCTTTTAGACGAAAAGTCCACAGGATAATCTGAAATATTATTATTATTCATTAAATTATCAATCGGAAACTTACAAGTTAAAATTTGATCTAGTTGCGTGTATCATACCTGTATTTAGTGATTTATTAGCTGTGTTATCTGTGGATTTTTCGAATCCAATAACCGTTGTGTCGTCGTTAGCTTTTCTCAATTGTTTTTTATGTTTCATTCTTCGGTTTTGAAACCATGTTTTGACCTATAAACGGAATTTTTAGAATTTACAGTTGCCAATATAGCATGGGAATTATTTTAATGCGGGATGGACTATATAGGTATTAACCTATAGAGGTTATTTGGGATGATATATGAGTATGAGTGTGAAGACTTGGAATGAACAAGAAAATGGTGATGGATTTGGAGGTGTGGAGGGTAAAAATAAAAGTAGCTGATCCTACCTTTGTAGCATAAAGACGAATAGGAAGAAGTAGAATAAATTATAGACAGATTAATGTACTAGCCTGCGTTTCGGATAATCGTAGTTCTGTAGCTAGTTCGACTCTCTCCGGTGTGCTTAGATACCGTTGTACTTCAAATCTTTTTTCTAGTCCTGTAAGTTGTTGATCGGAAAAAACAGTCCGTGCTTTCCGCCTGCGACATAGTCTAGAGCTTAATTGCCCGTGTCCGTAGTCCGAACGGACGCCCCAAATACTTCCGAACGGAACCCCTAAAAGAATATTATCAACATTAATATCATTCGAATATTGCATCTACTACAAAAAATAAAAAGTTGCTACCTATAACTGGATTTTGATGAGTAAACTTCCATAGTCATCGATAAAACATAATATTCGTTAGTCGCATGTATAATTTATTTAGAAAAACTTAATTTTTATCGCAGTATCATGATGTTATGATGTAAATCAAAAAAAAAAAAAAATTGGAAAAATTTGTAGTAACTTAATATTTTATTTAGAGATTTGAATATAAAGATAGGAATTTGTATTTTACTCTTATGTGCGTTTAGTAGTTTATCACTTATTTAAATACTTAAATGAACATTAGTTTTATTCCTTTTTTCTCGGATTCGTCTTATTTTTAAATTAGCGTATCAATTTATAATAATCTAAACTATTTCTTATATTTTTATAACCGCTGTAAAATTACCTTGGGGCGTGATGAAAAAAGGCTCTGCAATAGAATTGTTTTGCATGTAGTTCGCTGGATACGACAAATACGCGGACGCCACTGCTGATGGTAACATTGGATAGCATTCTGGACTGCTTTGTGGCTGTTGGTTCCGAGTTCTTTCTTGATTGGTTACCTGAAACTTTATATTGTGCTTTCAGGCTATATTAAGCATGGGTTATGTATGGAATTAAAAAAACTAGACAAAGTTAATTTCATTTCGTTTATATAGGACGTGATCAAAGAACACGATTGACTATGGAGGTATATTTTCAATTTAGATTAATCGTGATAACTGCAGGCTACAACCACCTTATTGTTATCGACACCTTACGTACATATTAATAAAATCCAAATAATACAAACTTACTAAAATACTTGCTAAGATTCAAGAATCAATTCCCGATTAACGATTGAATTGTAAACATGTTCGGTATCTGTCTATAATTATATGGACATTATAGTAATCAATGTAATTTACTTTATTTCTTATGAAATCTTTAAAATAATTTTTAGAAGTTAGATAAAAAAAAAAAAAAAATGAATATTACGTGATTTTAATCTACGCGAATTTATAATATAATTGGGGTAGTTTCATAAGTGATTTGTTTATGTTTACTACGACAACTTATATTATTTCTATTATTATTTTAACTCTAATCGAGCAATAATAGTTTTAGATTCCGAGCGTAGTGATGGAGCTACTGGTTTAACAATTATTTATTTTCTTTCTTTGTTCTAGTCTGTGGACACGTTTTGTCCTAATAAATTTGTTCTGATGTATAAGTGTAGCAATTTTTATGAAAGCTTACATTGTCTAGATTGTACTTTAAAGAGGTCATTTTTTAAATTTCGACGCTATTTTTTAAATAAAAGCACTTTAGTTGGATAAAACGTAGGAAAACGTATAATTTTACGGACGACGTTTTCTACCAGAAAAAAAAACGATATAATCGAAAAATTACAAGGTACCTTTTTTGTTGACTTTTTGAATTACTTTCTTACTGTATTATCGCCAAAACTTTTGAGTCACTTGAGTTTTTAAGGAATTCCTAATTTTTGGGAGTTTTCTTTGCTGTAATTCGGTTATAAACACACTTAGAGACTTGAAACTTGGTAATAATACTGATTGGATTTACCTAGATGTGGTAAAATTTCTAAAATCATCGGACGACTTTTTTTCTTTTTTTTATAATGGTACTTTTTTTTTATATTATAGACCACTTTCACTCTAGAAAACTTGCTCCTATATATAAGTGTGGTATCTTTTTTGAAAGTTAATTTTATCTACTTGGTAAATACATAGGTTATTTTTTGATTTTCGAAACGTTATTTAAAATAAAAACGATTGATCGAGGAAAAAAATATTATTTCACGATTTTGTTATTTTAAATAAGTACTTACCACGTTTTCTAGCATAAATATGGCTCCAATTGAAAAACGACAAGAGATCTTTTTTGTTGAATTATTAATCTCGTTTTTAATGATGCAGGTTGTTTTTTTTCTAATAAGCGTTTTGAAATCAAATTTAAACGAAAATCGCAAAAAAAAATTAACGCACTTCAAATTATGTATTACCGAACTGCGCTCGAATCGTCTTTCGTCAGCAATAGTTTATCGTTGCTTACAGATATAAATGAAATAACCGTGTGTATCCTACCTTCCTAACTTCTCACCTACAACAGTGGCCGCTCCCATCCTCAGTATCAGCTATTTTAGAGATTAAAGATGCATTTTAAATTGGTGTTTTCTCTTTGTTTGATTAGGTGCAGTCATAGCAATTTGTGTATGTCTCACCACCACACACAAATTTTCTAAAAAATAGGAATATAAAATCGACTGTCACGAATGTCTTGACATATAATTAGGCTAATTAATTACACAGAAAACATTAGAATTGTTTTTCAAATGTTATGATTTATCATTGTTATTACTGCTGTGCATATAAATTATTATTAATTTATATTATTAATACAAATACTAATGCCGGTTTTTCTCGTTCTCCGAAATAGAGGGTTGAGATGAATGGAAGTATGACAACTTATTTTAACTTTTATTATTTAACTATTATTTTAACTTTTAGACCTTTCTATTTATGTCTATAACTTTATCCTACAAACATTTTATATTTGCAATCATGCTTATAAAATAACAATCATGTATTCACGTGTAACAACCGTGATTGTCGTTACAATATTTTATTTTGATTCACGGTTAAAAATCGAGGGGATGCAATTGTGTACATGAATTAAGAAGGATGTGTCTTTTGGGGGTTTTCAACTTTCAATTCCATCGTCCCTATCACAATAACTTCTATGCTCAAATTCCATGATTTTACAAAAAAAAACCTTCAATTAGGTACCTAAATTCACGAATATGATTTATGTTTTTATTGTAGATTCTCAGTTGAGTAAGGAATGAATTCGTTTTACTATGATGTATAGGCTTCTACTAGGAATCTTGCTCTAATCAAAAAATACCATGAGACATTTTTTGTTGAATTTCGGATCTAGTCGGAGAGTAAAAAGTTGTGTTTGATTTTCCTATCAGTTTTCACAATAATCAGGGAAAAAGAGGTTAAATAAAAACATACAAATTTACGGCATTAAAAATTGTATATTTTCCAATTTTAAAATTTTCTTTTCTACCAGAAATATTCTTCTAAATTTCAAGAATAACATCTTTTCCGAAAGAAAATTTTAGTTAATTTGTGAGTTTTAAAGAGGTTTTTTGATATTCCGTGTAGTTTTCTTAATAAATAGACAAAACCAGGAAATTTTATGGTAAGAATGGTTTATTATTTTAAATTTTATTTTTTTGTTGTTGTTTAGTAAGAAACATCTGTATAGACCTGACATTGTCACATAATAATTGTACTAGCCATTTCTAGACGTAGTTAAATTAAAAAAATTCTGGCGATTTTTGGGCTATTTATAGGTATTTTATATTATAGAGATTTTATTTAATAGGTATACTATATGGTATAATGTGTATGAAATTGTTTGATCAAATAAAAATATTTGAAAATTGAATACGAGATTTATTATAAGTTGTACTATGTGGTAAAAAATAAAAATATTTGAAAATTGAATACGAGATTAAATATTTGAAAATTGAATACGAGATTTATTATAAGTTGTACTATGTGGTAAAAAAAAAATTGATAACTTGTAGAAGTTCTTTTTTTAAAGGACTATTAAGATCAAATTTTGGCGAAATTCAAAACTTACGAAATTTAAAAACATATATAATTGAACTTCGCTCAGAATCATATTTTGTTAGCAATGCATTTGGTTTACGTTGCTTACAGATATAAATTAAATAACCTTATATATCCTATCTTTCCAACTTTTTATTATTTAAATCAATCCTTTTTTATATTTTAGGACTTTGTCCCAAATATCTTTGTCCGAATGTGTGTATTCGTTTTTACCGTAATAATTTAGATTCTGAGCGAAACGGAAAAATAAGTATCGGTTTCATAATGATGCATGCAGTGACGTAGCTGAAGTTCAATCAAGGCGGGGATGGTTTAAAAATAATAATACACCACGGGTATAAAATATACTATTTTATTTTATTATCTATAGATTAGAACTATGTTTAAAAAATTATCACTAAAAAATACTTAAGAGGAGGGTGATCCACTTATAATTCCCTCTCAGTTACAGCACTATTTCAGCATTATTTTTTTATTTAGTTACCTACTCCTACTAAATGTGTATTTAAACCTGAACAGTATTGGTAGAAGGAGTAATCCGATTTTCCCATATGCCCTACTAGTGGAAAATTGAGTATAATTTCTACTCAAGAGAAGTCATTCTCAGTTTTGGCTTGAGCATGGCCACTAGGCCGCAAATGCGATCGGGGCTTCCAGTCGTGTTAGTGTCTAGGAGCCTTTTAGGCTCTAAGATCTATAAAATAACGTCATTTAACTACCTAATGGCTGTTTTTTTGTACAGAGATTTTAAATACTTAGGTATACATAATGTTGTTTAAACCTAAGTTGTCTATTTCAGACTGCAGTACAAAATAATAAAATATAATAATTTTGTATTAATAATTGTACACGTGAATAAATAAATACACAAATTAATCAAAAATTAAATGTCGTTAAAAATCGCTTTTGTAAACATAGCATATTAAGTATATTATTATTATAAAGGGTGATTTTTTTATCATGAATCAGCAATTATCTCGGAAGATTTTAAGTGAATTTCATTTCTGTTTTTTCTAACCATCATGGAATCGTTAAGCTTTATTTTAAAATCATTTTTAACCTATTAATAAGCACATACTTTTGATTTTCTATTAGGAATCCCCTTTTTGCACCCAGATTTGAATTGAGAAGATTTTTCTAAAAATGTTGATATGCATAACACTAATATCAGATTTACCGTTTATGAGTTATAACTTATAACAGTTTAACGTTTAAATCAGAGGAGTAGGGACGGACAATAAATTGCCTATCTATAACCCTAACCTACTCCATCAGTCTATAACCTCGTCGTTACAAAATCTGTTGTTATTTTTAGAAATATTATCGACTTTTGGCCCAATATTGCACTGGTTTTTATGGATTTTTTTCCATCCACGGGGCCCTTGAAAAATAATGCTCTCAAAGGCCTCCAGTATGTCAGGCCAACACTGACTCATTCTATAGAAACTTAAATTTCCAACAAATATTAAATGTAATGATGCATCAATATTATACCGTTTTCAAAAAAATAATTTAAAATTTTTAATATATATTTTAGGGGTTTTCTGATATTTATTTGATAAATTACTTTTATAATTTTCGTTTTTGGGATCTGAAAATTTAATATTTACTACCTATTCCTACCTATCTAATCCAACAATGAAGTTTAAATAATTTTGAAAATCCTTTGTCAAAAATTGTTTTATAAAATTTTAAACATTTTTTTTTTGGTTATTTTACCTATATATCATTTAAATGGACAATGGCAAATATACAATTTCGGTGAATTCGTCGTTCAGAAAATGAAAATACTATAGAGTTTAATAATAATACTATATTATATTTTAGAATAAAAAAATGTATTTTAGTACTTAAATATCAACTATGTTATTTAAAAATATTTCTTATAGGTAATAACCTATGTAATAATAATTATTACTAGGTACCTATAAGAAATATTATTATGTTTACATTAAATTATATAATAGTTTTTTTTGTTTAACAATAAAAATTACCTGGGCATTTGGTCTGTTGTTCTTTGATCTGAATAATATGTCTTCGATTAGAAACGATCTGGAGTGTTCGGGTGGAGATATTCTTTGATTATCTGGCATTTTTTTTTTTTTTTTGTCGATTATCTTAAACGTAAAATGATGATAAACGACACCGTGTTTCCTACAAACTGTGGCCGGTCAAATTGTCCGTGATTTACTAAACCGAAACCAGTAAACGCGTAAGCATTATACTATACATTATAAATATATGACAGTCACCCCAGAGAGACCGTCCCTTCGATGCGCCTCATTGGTCGCATTGATCGGCGCTAGGCCTTTCGCATTGGCTCGGTGGTGGCCATACTGAAACCCCTCGTCCTCGCAGTTCCGAGGGGGATGAAAATAGAGATTTAAGTGTTATATCACTAAACAAGTTATGATTGTCGGCAATTAGGGTGGTATAAACGGGCGGGTCGCCTCTCCTCGACGAGAATGTGTTCAAAAGCTTATTCTCGTTATGAGATTCACGCACAGCAGTAAAAATAATACCTATCCTTACTCTTTATAAAGAAAAACCATCACATAATGCAGAATAATATTTAGCTTTTATACATTCCTATTGAAAGCTTGCAGTGATTTATGTATTTTTTTAAAAATAAAACACAAATAATGTTTTTAATTATTGTTCGTTGGCAGTGTTAATTATTTGGTAATATTTTAAAATTAAAGTTTGCTTTTATTGCAAGATCAAAAATGAAATTGTTCCCTATAGTAAAAAAAAAAATCACTATATAACTAATTGTCTTGTATATAATTAAATAATTCATGCTATTTCAAACTGTTTCATTAATCGATTTTTATTTATTTAAATTAAAGATTCCATAACAGGTAGACCATTATTTTATATTTTAACACAATTATTGTATTAAAGACACATATTTTATTTTATTTTAAATGGACATTTTCTTATTCGTTTTTCAGTTATTACATTATTTTTTTTTTGCACTCATCCTATACCTATATAATATAAATTTAATATTGTATACACTATACAGATGTATCTACATTACGATTACATTGGTATTTTCACTGATTTTTTTGTCTGAGAATAACATTTTTTAAATATTATTACTATGGGACCTTTTTCTTCTTTTCTATAGTAAATAGAAAATTAAATATCAAGTATACCTCAATAGAAACTATTATTCAATATAGTTATAGTTATATTTATTTAGAATACAAAGAAGTACATCATTATTGCTAATTAACCGCTGAGCGATATCTGGTTAAACATTTTTTAAATTTTTATGATTTTCGTCAACATTTGGATTTCAAACACTTACAAATAACTTAAACCTCCTGTTAAATTGTTGAGCATATATTAATTTATTAAAGTTATAAACGGACCAAGCCCAAATACATACATTTTAATAATTATAAGTGGTACACAATGAAATACAATATACAAATAACAATACTACATAGATTTAAATTGATTTTAATCTCTAGCACAATAGTTGGTTTTAAATATTGCGTGTAATCTAGTGTACTAGGACCAGTAATATATTCCATTCACACCACAATGATGTATGTACACTATAAAAAGTACAAGAAATTATCAGCAAAGATAAGAATGATTATAAAAAAAACATCTATATTCTGTATATAAAATTATTATATTATCTATATTCTAACCGACTTTGAAACAAAGTACAGTCAATATTTCTGGTTAAAAGTTTATACCGAAAATAGGTATATATCCAAACATAAACGGCGTTGTTTACGAATTTTCAGATTTAGAATTGATAAAAGCAGTGAATACGAGGAATGAGGTTCTTTGGTATGGAGTACTAAAAAAAAAAAGAAATGACAAAAACTTTTGTTGGATTTTTCAAGTTTGCATTATTTTGAGATCCGATTTATATGGAGACCATATTATTAAGCCATATTCATAAATAGATCGTACCAAACAACAAATCAGGGATTTTAATGCGAGTTTATCATAATAGTCAGTACAATTACGATGAATGAAACTGACGGTATTGTTTGATCTATTAACAATGTAGTTGATGTGAAAGTAAAATTTAAATTTAGGATCAAAGAAGATACTAAAGTCCTTAACAAGTCCCACAGTCCGATGAAGTGTTTCACCATTGGAGTTGTAATTAAATTATGAAACAATTCGAGCTATAGAAAATATCATTATTTGGCATTTACTAACATTAAGAGTGAAATTATTATTGATACATCATTTATATAGAGAGTATTTAAATCAGGCTGAAGTAAATCAGCTTTCGCTTGGTTGTTAATTATACGGAATAATTTTAAGTAGTCAGTAAACAATAATTTAGTTCAGTTAAAATAATATGTCAATAAAAAAAAAAAAATAAGAATCAATATTAGCTTTAAAAAGGATCCTTGAGGAATTTCATTAGAATAGACCAATACTCTTTTTAAGCCATGATTTGACAACGATGTTCAAAAAAAGAGAACCCAAGACAGAAAAGAGTCACAAATACTAATCTGCTTTAAATTAGTAAATGAAATTGTATGATTAATTTTATCGAGGGTCTTAGCGAAATCGGTGTATATTATGCTTGACCAAAATAATTTTGTCCACATAAAATCAAATAAGAACTGAAATTTTTGAAGTATTACATTAGTAAAAAAAAGACTATTACCCATTGGTGCAACTAGAGGACAAATACTGGGGTTGCTAAAATCATGTAGAGGCCACGAGCTCGTGGGGGCTACGCCTCCATACTCCTAATACTACATTTCAATTTTATAATTACTATAATCATTCTTTAATGCATAGTAAACAGATTTAAGTAAGATTTACTAAGATTTAAGTATACAAACAGCAATATATCTAATAAATACATTAGGTAAGTATTTTATATTATTTAGGTGATAAAAATAATGACTAAGTATACACAGATAAAAAAAAACTATTTTGTATAGTAACTTATATTAAAATAATTATATAATTTTAATTTGTTAGCAGTTACTAGTATGAGGTATCATTTTATAATTAAATCTATTTATTATTCAATATAATATGTTAACATTTACATATAATTTATCACACTAATATTATTTTTCTATTACTACTGGAATAATTGTTCAGTATTTCTGAAAAAGTAATTTTATTAACAACATCTTTTTTAATATTTAATAGTGATAAATCTGTAAAACGCTGTTACTTCATACTTGCCTTTGACCAGTTTTTTAGACGACCCATTGACGAAAAGCTTCTTTCACACGTAGCAGAACTCATAGGAATTGTAACTGACTGAAGAATTTATTATCTATCTGACTGCACCGATATTGTTGATGTTACATACCTAATATTTGATATAAGTAATCATCACAAACCATTTGTGTTTCTGCTGAAAACATCAAATAGACAAACCCCTACAAAGAAAACAAAAAAGAAAACTCTTTTTTAATTCTGAGTGAAGCAAAGTGTTATAGTTTAATAGTTTTACAAAGAAGTTTTTTTTTTTCAGTGAACAACTTTTCTACTAAAAATTTTGTTCCGATATTTAAGTGTAGCACCTTTTTTGAAAGGAAATCGGTGTGGGGAGGTATTTTAAAGAGATTATTTTATTTTTATTTTTCCAGGATATTTCTCAACAAATGGGAAAAACGGAAAAATGTACGAAATGAGGATATTAGTTGAAAAATATACTAGCAGTTTTGCTCCGATTTACAATGATAGCGCTTGTTCTGAAAGAAAATCAGACTGAGAATGTACTTTAAAGAGGTCATTTTTTTATTTTCGCAGGACTTTTCTCAACAAATGTGAAAAACCANGAAAATGGATCAATCGTAAAATCATACAACTGAATACGGATATTATTTGAGGTACTTACCTTACTACGCTGAAAACCGTATTAATTGCACGATCAGTATTAAAATGCACCAAAGTAACAAAAATTGTAGGTATGCTTACTGATTAATACTATTGATTTATTTGAATGATAATAAATATCGCAAAACTACGCGCTGGCTAATAATGTTGGCAATCTTAAATTTGTTTATTGTACGCGTATTTAATCAAATCTTAGTAAATTATGTTTCTTAAATTTGTTTTATTCATTGTCGTTTTTAAATTGTTTTATAATCATTCTTGTAAACTTTTTCAATAGTTTATTAAATTTTCTTCATCGGTATAATTAAAGGGGTTTTATTTCTATATTTTTGTAAATCTTTTTTTTCCTTTATGGTTTTTTCCCGGTTCATTTGCACGCGAACTTTTCGATCTAAGACTGCTGGTAGCTGTGGATGACTTCAAGGAGCGAGGACCGGGATTCGGTGATCGTATTATATTGCACGGATTTAAGCCATTTAAGGTAAGGTTAGGTTAAGCGACACAGTGGATTAGGCCTACTCGGGGACACCACTATAAAAAAAACGCGCCTCGTGCAAAACCTCATACGCTTTTCGAATAACGTTAAATACTCGTAATAATATTTCATTGGCGTTTATCGATAGCCAAGGTGGTGCGGAATATTGCACACGGGTCTTATCTGTATTTTTATTGTAATCATTCGACAAGATTCGATATTTTATGCATTGCATATTTTCTTTAATAATTTTTGTTTAATATTGAACCGATTTTCCCGTTTTTCTTACGTTTATTCCGGTTCACCGATGTTTTTTCCCAGTTTTTCATATTTGATGAGAAAACCCCTGAGAAAATTGAAAAATTACCTCTTTATATTACCTCCCCAGTTCGATTTAAATTACAATTATATATCAAATTACCTATAACAATGGCTGCACTTATCTCCATTATCCTGGGACAGCTTTTTTTTATACTATTTTTCAATTTTTATCATTTTTGATCTGGAGGTGCTTAATTAAAGTCTGGGGATTCTAAAGTACCCCAAAGCACTCCCCTAGTTGCACTTATTTTATTGCCCAAAAGGAAAAAAATATTTTTTAAATGTCTTTAACTAATTAATATTACGTTTGAAAAATATCGTAAAATTAATATCTAGTAATTATAAAAATATTTCTTATTAAATTACACATGAGATGTTAATTGACCGCGTTTTGAGAGTTGTCACACAATAATTTAAATGTAACTATCATCATTGATTTTATAATACACAGATACAATGGCGATTTTCAGAGGGATGTAGAGGGTTTATCTCCCATCCCTTGACTTTTTATTACATGTATGTATGCGAATAATTATTTTAGTATTTATTTATTTATTTTTTTTAATTATAGAACTTTAATTAATAACTTCTAAGACACCTGAGATATCAAAATTGGTAAGTGATAATCATATCAAAAATCAAATTGTTATTATTTATTTCTATAAATGCATCTCTGCATAGCATAGTTTTTCAATAAAATAATAATAAAAACATGTTTCAAATAAATATCTAACCACCGCATCTACTCTACTAGATTTGTTATTATTTAATTATAATTTAAATGTCTTGTGTATCGGTTATTTAGTATTCGAATTCCTACAATTATCTTTTATTATGTATTTAGATACTGAAATTTATTTTTCGAGTAACCAGAATTTATAGATGCTTATTTTGAAGAAACTCACCCAACCTACTATTAGGTAAAACTATAGCTAAGTTATTTTATCTTGAAATCTGCTGATCCAATCTCTTGGGTATATGTCATAATTAAACATTGCAAATAATAACGTGTGAAAATTAGTATAAAAAGAAAACCGCTATACAGAGCGTTCATTATCCTTTCCATCTCTAATTAAATTTGAATAAAAACACGTTTTTGTAAACATGCGTCCATCAAGTGCACTTTTGAATAGACTTTTCGTGCTCTATCTGTGTAACTCAGAAATTTAATGAAGCCTCGGTAAGTACGATATTATTATTATTATTATTATAACAGAGACCGTGATGCTCGGTCTGATCCGTTATCATTGTTGAGATCGCCACCACGTTAAACACACCTATTAAACGAAATTATTATTAAAATGCGATAAAAATCATATTATTATTGATTACCAGACACAAAATCATCGTACCTATACCATTTTACACATTTGTCAATTTATATACATACCGAGGATTTTTTATGAAGACGGGCGCGAAAGTGTTAAATATATATTAAATAGAAATTATCCTATGACCTAATACGAACAATAATATTGTATTTATATGTTTGTACTTTTTATCTCAAAATCCAATTATGGGATTTTCCGAAAAGTCGGAATTCAAAGGTTTGGACCTTACATAAGGAATTCAGCGGATATTGAATCAGATTTCTTTTTTGAGAAAATTCAATAAAGGGATAAAACTTAAATCTGAAAAATGTATCATCTGGAACTTTCGGACTATCGTCAAGCAGCAATATAAAATAAATAGAATCTATGGTGACGTCACCGTTGTCAATGGGTTGTTGTTTTTTTTATTCTTGAAAAAAATGGTAATTAATTAAAAATTAAAAAAAAAAAAACAGTTTAATGATTTCACTTATTTATTATTTTGTTTTCTTGAGGTTATTTTGCAAAGTACATCATTGTGTAGAATACCATTATTTTTTTTTTTGTATTTTAACATGACCTATGGAGCAGGGCAAAAGACGAAGTCCCTACTTCCTCATCTTAAGTACACCACTGCAGAATATGCTAAAATTAGATAAATATTATTTTCGGATACCTGGTGCAGTTATTTAAACTCTATCGGTTTTTGAAATTTTAAACACGAAATAATTGACTAAACACTTATAATGTATCAATTTGATCAAATAATAATATATTAGTCATTATTCGACAAATGTTTTCATTTATATAGGTACGCGATTATATTTGTATTAACTTAAATATTAAGATTTAAGACTATTCTAAGCATTTAAAAAAAGATAACAGTATGATAAAATGTTATAACATTACATACGTGTATCAATAATTCAGAATTAGAATAAGAATTTAATTTTGAATTTATAAATCTCGACTACAACGATGTGTTTTATGCTAAACCAACGAATTAAACTTTACGGTGTATAATATAAGTATGTAATATAGGTACTTACTTTAAAGAATGTAACAGATCGGGGTTTAGCGTGTAATGGTGTAGCACGTTTTTATATACATTTTCCATTTGAGTTGCTTAGTAACGCGCCATAATATGCGTAATACGGCAGCCGCTAATTGTCAATTTTGAGGTTGCCATTTAAAATTAACGGCGGCGGCGTTCCAAAAGGTCATACTTACAATATAGATGAATGTAATCGCTATTGGTATAGCTGGTAGTTGACATTTTGCGGCGAATGACTTTTAAATTGGATTTCTTTATTGTCGAGTTCCGCTCATCGTTGTCTGAAATTAATTGTAAATAAATGTCACGTACATAATATAATATGTGTATAATAACATAATATTATTACTGTTTGTTTAAAAAACGCGCGTTAATATAAACAAATTAGCTAATATTTTTGAAAAATACAAATATTGTAACTGTACACGAGTGTATTGTATATACCTAGTATGTTGTTATTATCAATAGTTAAAACATTTATCTTTTTGTAGAACCTGAGCGCATTAGTTTTACTAATAATACTGTGTTTACACTTAATGAACATTTGAGGAAACATTGTTTATCAAATGTTCATCTGACGTTTTTTAGTTGATTGTTGAACGATTATATCAAGACAACAAAAGTTTTTTCATAATTTACCTTTTCGCCATGTGTTTGTCAAAAAATGTGGTTGTAGCGATGGTGTATTCAAATCTAATGGCTGTTAAGTAATAAATGTAACCTGAGTCCACTGAACTAACGAAGTTGTGTGTGCATATTTTGTGTGATCTATTTTTGCTTTAACTAACAGATTACGAGTACATATCTAATTTTTTATTATAGGAATATTTTGAATTTTGACTGAATAACGTATAACTATATATTTACGATTATATAACCAATTTTCTACATTGGACATAAATTGTTCATAGATTATTGTATAATTTTCTAAATAAAAAAAACCGACACAAATAATGAAATAATGAAAAAATTATTTTAAAATAATATGTTTTTAAAAATCACAGAATAATGTATTAAAAAAGGACGGACATTTTCGCACGTGGGTGCAGCCACTGTTGTAGGTGGGAAGTTGGGAAGGTAGGATACAGACGGGAATTTAATGCATATCTGTAAATAACGTTAAACCATTGCTAATGAAAAAACGATTCTGAGCGGAGTTCAGTTGATAGTGTTGCTTTGTCAACAATATACGTATGTATTATATTATGGTGAAATTATTACAACAATGTGCGTTTCCATAACAACAATGATTGAAAAGATTAAAATAATAAAAACTTAATAATAACAAAAAAAAACAAAAACGGTTACTCTTGACAATCTTATTTTTTAATTTTTCAATCTTCTTTAACCTAAAGATTCAGGTTTTTCTCTTTATCTCGAATATTA